AAAAGAAACTGAACAGCACCTCCCGAGGACAACCCAGCCGGAGAAGTTTACCTTACAGTGCTTACACAATCCAGCTCGAAGCCTAAGATGGATTCAGGCCGCGGTACCGAAAGAATCCGGCTTTCTCGCACAAGTCTCGAATTTAAATGTCCGTCGAGGCCGCTTACTCTTCTTCAGGCGGGAAACAATCCTACGTCCTGCCATTGACAGCTTCATTAAACGTCCGCATGCTCATCCTAATAGTAACCAGCTAACCGTCATCTGCTAATCTTGTACACATCAGCCCCCCCGTTCCGCTTCGGCGGCACCTATATAACCCCATCCATCGGGACATAGAGTCTGCTTCTCGCCAATCGGTTGGCATAGCGAAGGAAAAACGCCCTGCTGACCCTCGATTACTTGGACTCGACCTCCACCAAACGTCCTTCTGTCTTGAAGTTTAGGGTAAAATCTCCAGCGATGCCCGTCCCGATCTCCATGCGTGGTATCAGTTCAGTCGCCACGTCGTCGATCCTCTCCGTCACCCGTCATCATCACCGGGGTATCCTCACAAATACCTCCTACTCAGCAGCAGACGACGAGACTATCACCCTGCTCACCCGACAGACTGAAGATCTGTTCAACGCCTGACTTCTCACGATTCAAGCCGTTAGTCATATTTTAGAGCTCGGAGACAGATAAAGGCAGTCCGAGTCCCGTACATCTATTCCGTTACAGACTCGACCGCTCTTCATGCATAGACAGCATCTTATACGCGCAGGGACAGAGCTCACAGAATTCATCACCGGCGAAAAGACTCCAATTTCAATACTCCAAAATAGAGATCCCCAGCTCGCATCTTCGTACGCTCACTACGCATGCTGTCCCCATTCTCAAGTCAACCACTCCCCCATCAAAGCCTCTTCACAGCCGCATTCCTCGCCTCCAAAGCCTTCCGAGCCCACTCGATATCCGGCGCACTCTCAAACCCGTGCGGCAGACCCGGCCACATATGAAACTCCACCTCCACATCCGCCCTGCTCAGCTTCAACGCGTACTCCAAACACTCGTCCCTAAACAGATCCAGCCCGCCCACGTCGATATACGCAGGCGGAAGGCCCCTCAGATCCTCCGCGGAAGCCCGCCCCGGCGCGGCGTACAACGACACCTCCGCGTCCGGATCCCCCGCCTTGTCCCCGAGCACGGCGCCCCACGCGATGCGGTTGTCGTTCGTGTTCCACGTGAGGAAGCTGTAGATTCCGTGGCTCGCGTCGATCTTGGTCCGGTCGTCGAGCATCGGGTACACGAGGACCTGCTTCCTCAGCCTCGGACTCAGGCCGCGGTCGCGTGCGATGAGGGTGGCGCCGGCTGCGATGCCACCGCCGGCCGAGTCGCCCATGATGACAATGTTACTCGCGTCCACGTTCCACTGCTTCGCATTCTCCGAGAGGTGCTTCAGTCCGAAGTAGACGTCTTCGGCGCCCAGGCCGTCCGGGAACTCGGGCGCGAGGCGGTAGTCGACCGCGAAGAAGGGCATCCCGATCGTGTCCACGAAGCGCTTGATCTGCGGGGCGAAGATGTCGACGTCGCACATGATGAAGCCGCCGCCGTGGACGTAGACGATGGCGGGCTGAGGCTCGGCGGCCTCGATCATGTCTTTGGTCGCGAAGCGGACGATGTTGATCTCCTGGCCGTCGTGGCTCTGGAAGGGGATCTTGGTTTCGAGGACGTGCTCAGGGGAAGGCTGCGCTCTGAGCACGCTTCGCATCATCGGTTCCTGCCAGGCGCGGAGCTCGTGGGCGTCTTTGAAGGGCACCGTACGCGTAGGTCCCTCGCGAGCGGAGATGACCGCCAGGTATTCCGGGTCGTAACGCAGTTCGTTGGTAGCGGTTGCCATGATGACGTTTGCACAGTTGAGCAAGATCTTCTCGGAGTTGAGTGTGTTGATGAGGGGATATCGAACGCAACGAGAATCGTAGCTTTTTATCAGCAATATCCGCCAGTAACATGGGTGCTGGGAGGGCTGCCCGTAATCCCGAATGCTGGCGCGGACGAATCATGATTCCTTACCGTTGGAGGTTGTTCAGCAATCCTTCTTGTCGGCCGCCAATTCGGTCGAGCTCGTAACGCCAGCAGCGCCTTGATTGGCATGTGGTTTGTAAGCTCATGCAGGGTGCAACGATAGCAAACCGGTGGTATTGGCAAAGTGAGGTCGTGTTACGTCTCACAGAAAGAGAAAGGCTGGCCGGCAACAAGCATCCTCTATCGGGAAACATCGCAGTTTTTGGATAATTGTTTGTAATCAACGAGGGTGAAAACGGACGAATGATGCTTCGCTGTTAAGTCGCGGTCGCGATGTAAACGACAGGGCTCTTGCCGAAGAACTCTCCACTTGTGAAGGATGCACGCCGAATCCTCATTCTCGTCTGGTAAAAAATTGATTCGGCCAGGGGTTGACGGCGACGATAACCGCGAGAGCGACACCTTCAGCACTCGCAAACTTTTGGCGGTGGTGAGGATGCACCTGGTCGTGTTCCTATCGAGCACTTGCCCGTCAGAAGTCCCGGCCTCGTGGGACCAAGGTTGCCGCATCGTGAGACCGCTTGGCCATCATCACCAGTTTGTTTTCCCGGTGAAAGCAACTTCACCCGCTTGGTGCATCCGTCGTAATCCACAAGCAGAACGGCTGCCCATCGAAGTGACGGAGCATCTGGCTCCTGCGTTACCGGTAAGATGGCACGCGCTGGGCGTCAGAGCGCGTCCGGCGCATCGACCATCAACACCGTCATTCTCCAAACCCCCGGGTCTCAGAGCAGTCTGTCTCCATCGTCGCGATCGCAACCTCGAAATGGAAGAGAAGCCAGCTCGATTCGCAAAATCGAAAAAGCGGCGAAAAGATCGTTCATCCAAGGTCGTCAGTGCGAGCAGCTGCACTTGCAGCACAGCACACTCCGGCTATAGGGGCGCGATTACGCCAAGGGCCGACCTCCCTTGCGCCCGGAGAGTGATCCGGGGAAATGTCATCTCATCTTGGAGCGATGGTGATGAAAGTCCCACAACCCACGATCCACAGTCGTGCATAGGGACATCGTGTTCGATCGACCCCTTTGTTGAAGGGCGTACCCCATCCTCCAAGCCACGACGGGAAAACAAGATCCTGTTGTCGTGAGATGCACCATTGCGAAACGCTGCCCCTAATATGACGGTAAGCTGCAGAAGGAGCAGAAGAATCTCGGCGCGTGGATGGGGAAAGATGTAATTAGCTACCGCCGTCGTTCGAAGCTCAAATCCGTCGATCGACGACTACACTGGGCCGTTCGTCCGGATGATGCAGGGCTGATGGAGAACTGATTAAAAAATCTCGTCACGCCCGATCCAGACGACGGCGGGCGGGTGCGATGCAGCACGTTGGAATCGGGGCTGAAAATGTTCCGATGGCACGTTGTCTGGCCCGATTCGTTCAACAAAGGAACCAGCTCGCGGGGCCAGGGGCCCATGTCGGCGATGCGGGCTGCCCTGAAATATTGAGGGGATCGTGAACTTCGGCCCCGTCCGATCGACAAACACGTCTTGTGAATCGGAAACCAGGATCCAGTGCTTCAAAGGCCCCGCGCGAGTCCGGGTAGCCAGCCAGGACAGCTTTGGCTGCAGCCAAACCGTGCGCTCAACTCGCGCTGGCGGTGTACAAATTTCCATGTCCGACAGCCCCGGAACGGTCGGTCTGGAGACTTGAGGGGAGAATTGTCGTATGAGTGAACGCTTCTTGATGTGGATATGTTTGATTAATTCAGATGTAACAGATTCTTCAGTCTTCTCGAAGTTCTCTCTTTTGCCGGGACACCCAAGGCGCTGCGATTGACATGCGTCCCACCCTGTCTGACATGGGCGGAGAGCGGAAGAGCCTGGCGAGACCACGAACCTCTGTGAGACCATGCCTTGTCCGGGCACTTGGGAATTACATGGTGTAGTCCAGCGGGAAGAAAGAGGCCGAGACTCACTACCCGGCGCCAACTTCAACGGTTGTGAAGAGCCATTGAATTTCGTAGGGGCGACGTGCTGTAGACGGCGGTGGCAGCGCCCACGGAACGCGTCCAACTCCAGACATGAGGAATCTGGCTTTTCACATGGAAGTGCCCATTGCCGCTTAATGCGCCTCGTTGAGTTGTTCTGCCCAAGCTCTAAGAATGCTGTCTCGCGCAAGCGTGCGTAGGTCCCTCAAACTGCCTACGGGAGTGTCCTAAGTCTGGCCGGCGGGTAAGAACTATGTGCGCGGGTTCGCGGGTGCGGGTTGTTGGCGTCGAGTGGCTGAGGAACGAGAGGGTTTCAGTCAACCAAGTGGTAAACTAGGAAGGAATTGTGTGGGAGTTCCCATCGCCTTTTTCAACCATCATCGAGATTGCCCAACATGCATCGAATATCGAGTCAGCGTCGTTAGACCCTTCACGTACTAGCGGCCGTGCCAGTCTGTCGGTTAAGGCTCCTTTGCACTAGTTGGACGGACTACTGCGTGGCCCCATCCATCTCCAATCGCTGGGAGAGGAAGGCCTTCAGAGAGTTGACAGCGGGGAGGATGCGATCAGCATTTGCAACTGTCCGTTGTGGCCGAGTTCAGTTAACCAGTCATCGCGAAGATTTGGTTTTGCTCGCGGTTCATTTGGCTCACTGTTGACCGAGACTCTTGGCTGGAGGATGTTCAGGCACCGAGGGCGTGTAGCGGCCCTTATCATCGGAGCACTTTGCACGGTCTCAGAATCTGTAGTGCGGTCTAGACCGGACCTAATCAGTCTTTCCAAACGTGACTTCAATCAGATCAATGTAAGGGTCCAGAGAGGGGCATGTTGTTGAATAGGAAACGACAATAATATTCCAACTCCAAGGGTCTTCGTTTCGAGACTGCATGCTCTCAAATGGATTCGAGGCGGCTGCAGAAGACTTGACTTATGCCGCAAGGCACGACATGCCTTGCAGATACGTTCCGGTCGAAGGGCCGTGTTCTGGGCCATCCAACCCCAAGGCCTACTGGGAATTTGCGTCAAAGTTCAGGAACATGGCGTCAACTCCCCACCCAAGAGTCGTTGTAGAGACCTCGAGCCTCCAGTTGCAGACCCCCAAGGTGTGGCGCGGTTCCATGTGCCAGCCAGCGCCCGTAGCAGATCCCTTTGCCATCATCGTGATTTGACTTTGTCCGGCAGATGCCACAAGCGGGGCGCGAAATGGCACCCGGCGCCGCCGTTCGCCGTTTTCTGAACTCTGTTGGCTCACGGGAAGGGTACAGAACGGGGGCGTCGCATGTGGAATCAAGATATGAGACCAGTCTCCGGGGTAAGGGGCGAATATGCGGTTGGTTCTCAGGGAATCTAAAGCAGCGGCTGCACGATTGTCGCACGTCTAGTCGACGTCGAGCTGCGATCACCCCAACGTCCAATAATTACTGAGAACTGCTGGAGAGGTCTGCAACCGTTGGCAGATGGCCAACTCGCTACTTGGTGGATACTCCCTCAGAAGAAACAGCTTCATGAAAGAGTGACGAAATATTCTCGCAGACTGAGCGACATGGCCATGTGCGAACGGTTTGGTTACGCTGCCAAAATACTAGGCGGAGACGAGACGGATACAGGAATGCTAAGGCACCGACGCAGAGACTTCTGCCGACCCGTAGTTGGAGAAGTGCGAAATGCCATGGTTCAAACAATGGGAATCGTGGGACGATGTGGATGGCTCGGTTATCTGGATGGCAACTTTCTAGTCGTTGAGAATTGACGGACGCAAGGAGGGCAGAAATCCTGCTGCATTGGGCGGATGTTTCTCATGTCCCAGAGATGGGGACGGTCTCGGCTTCTGCCTGTATTTTGCCACTCGTTCCTGGCAGCGTGATATGATGAGTTTGAAGGGACGTTGATGCGCGGTACTCTGTGGTTGGCTCCTCTCGGCCGGATTCTTCTCCTCTGCACGGAGAAAGCGGGATTGGCCAGTGACATCTGTACAACCGCCAGAAGAAGTAAGCGACTTGCAGCGATCCTGGTTGAGTGAATGGACACACAAATAGCCACAGCATGCACCGCTGCCTCTGACGACGAAACGATGTCATTTCCTGTGGACGAGCATGTTCCGGTTTGACGAACCACGCCGGCGGCCCCGCTGTGGCTGATATGCTGGTAGCATACAGCACGAAGAGTGAAATATAGCCTTAAGCCCCTTGATTCAGTGGCAGCGAACGTTTGCAATCCGCAGTCTGTCTTGTTCGGTTGGATAAGATTCAGATGTGGCTGAACACCGGCATTCGAGATGTCGATAAATGGGAACAGCTCCACCCCTAGAGGTGGGCATACAAAGTCTCGGTACCAATGGAGTTGAGTCTCTTCGTTGATTGGCTTACACGGAGTTCGTCCCTATGATGGGTGTGAGAAAAGGCTTTGGTACCGTGAAGTATCTGTTTCACGCTCCCGCCAGCCGGCCAGCCAGCTACTCCAGAGAATCTCGCGGACTCTTTGCTCCGTTTCGACGGTAGGGCGATGCCAATTGTTAACGCGCAGTCGAGATCACCAAAAGCCGATGGCTGTCAGGCCATTTACATTCTCTCAGAGCTGTTTTGAGCCGCTGATCGACCATGGCTGTGACGTCAAATTCCAGAGATTCGGGAACATCGTTTAACGCCAACTCCGCGCCAGTTGATGTAGAAAACACATTGCCAATCTGATGGAATTGCCGTTCGCGATCAATGTCGTCCCGAAAGAAAGGTTGACCAGCCCAGCAAGACGCCCTCAAAGGTAACCACCACCGGGAGGTTGCACTCACGAGCAGTCTTGGGGGACGGTGCACGTTGTACCTTGGAGAAGCAAGCCTTCTCCTCCCTCCCGTCCAGCGGGGTAATAGCTGTTCACTGCATGGCTCGTGTCAAGCGTATCCATAGGTAGGTAGCCCGTGCTGAGTTTGAGCGATTGCGAGACTGGGGAGCCCTGGGAGTCTTGATAGCTCAGACTGCGACCACACGGAATGCGCAACTCTGATTGTGCTCTAGCCACAGCTTTTTGATGTTTGCCGTTTGTTGTTTTGCTGTGGTGTCCCTGAAGCATGTGCGTAGTAGCTGGTCTATGCATGCTCACGAGCAGCCCTGCCAAGGTTTGCGGCTTCGAAATAGCTTTGCGTCGCCTTTGCCATGTGGTTGTGCGCTCTTGAGAGAAACAAACAGCCGCAGACAAGCTATCGCCCGAGATAGCTGCTCAGTCTGAGTGAAAAAAGACTTCTGTAGCGCCCAACGCCCGCCTCTTGAGTTGGACGTAAATAGTCAGCAATGTTACGGTCGAGTCGGGTTTGGCGTTGTCTCGTTCACAGTCACCGCCCCTACCCTGCCGGTATTGCGTTCCTAGGTTCAGTGGGAGGGGAGCAAGCCATCCCGCCTAGCTAGCGTGACCCTGGCGACACCATTTCCACGAAAGGTCGGAGTTGCGAAGGACGAAGCCACGGACGGAGGTCGCAGTGCTACTGGCCCAGCCAGGCCAGGGTTGGCCTGTGGATCGTTCCGATGAACCGCTTTGCTGTGTCCCATGGCTGGACCGGGGGAGGGATCCGTCAGAAGCTCCAGCAGTCGGCCTCGTAGCATATCACTTGAGAAGTACGACGGCGCGGCGACGGCCCTGGAAATGATAAAGCGCAGATGAGGTGCCGCGCAGATTTGGATGCTGGAGCGCGGCCGTTGTTGCAGACGTCGTTGCTGTGAAACTTGCCAACAGCGAACCTAGGTTGATGCTTTGTGCTGGAATATTCCGCCGAGAAAGGCAATGCCGCAAACCCCATCATCAACAGTCTGGGGTCCCTGGTAATCGGCGCCGGACCCTGGGGATCGATCATTGAGGGCCCGTTTCGCCGAATCCACTTCTGTCTCCGAAGGGCGGACGCGGAGAGATTACAACACCGAGCGTCAAGGCATTCGGACCAACATCGACTGTGCTCTGCCACCACAATTGTAAGCGCAGTGCGTGATTCGATAGGCGAGCTTGGATGCCACTTAGGTGTCGAAGGGTATTTTGTACGGGCTGTACTGCCAGTGGCAATTGACAGGCAACCCAATCCCGGAGTGTGAATTGCTGGTGCTGCTGGACAGACATGCGGCCGCGTGGGTGTGGTGAAATATGAGGTTTTCCAAGTGGAAGTTTGCAAGTGTGTTCGCTTTCTGCCGCCCGCATATTCGCAGCGTGGTCTGGCTAGTTTATGAGGCGGATCAAATATTGCTGGAAGCGTATCCGTAAGAATTGGGTTTCCATTGAGTTGCGTCTTGTTGAAGCTGTTGGCGACAAGGTTCTGGATCTGGAAAGCATGGCGACCTGCAACGCGGAGAAATTGTGCCACATGCTGCAGTTGTGGCCGCCGTACCGTGAGAGACAGGCGACCCTGCTGAGTTCGTACCAGGAGGTATCCCACGGGAGAGTTCAGGCTCTGTGAATGGCCAGATTGGCCCGGCGGAGTTAACTCCAGAGAGCTCAAGCGAGGCGGGATGCGAGATACGAAGGGAGATTGGAAGGAAGAGCGGCCAAGACGGATGTTGAGGAGGTGGACGACGAAGGCGGTGTCGGTGTCAGTCGATGAATGTCTCTCCCGCGCATGGAAGCAGAGGCAGGGACGGCGGATCTGTATGAGATACGGTGCCTGGATGTTTTGTCTCATAGGTGTGCATGTTTGCGGAGAAGCTCTGAAGTGTGACTGCTCGTAGCCAAGTCGAGTCGAGGCATGAATTGCCAGCAGAGGAGCATGAGGTACGGCGGAGGTATGGGTACGTGGTGCTGCAGCTGCTTTGGATGCGGTGATCTTCGCGGTGGGAGCCGGGCAACCAAGTCCGAGGTGAGTTGAGCCATAGTACCAAAATAAGGAAAGGCCCAGAGTTTGAAAGGGAGTGGTATCCCGTCATAATCAAGGAGAGATGAGAGCATTTGTTGTAATTGCCAGCCCAGGGCGTCAGAATTGGAGATGAGGAAGCTGCCAGGCGAAGAATTAGCCAGCCATTGCGGCATCACGGGCGGGCGGTGCAGGGAGACAGCTTCGAGTAGGTAAGTAGCTGGAGATGCAGATTTGAAAATAGGCAGTTGATTGGTGGTTGGATTGCCGTTTGGCTTGGTGTCTGGGGTGAAATTGCTTTCTCTACCCTCCCCTTTTGGTGCGAGATGGTGTTGAGCGGGAAGGAAAAGAAAGGATGGAGAGGGATGAGGGTCAATCAATCAAGGCAGGCACTGAATGTATTTTTTTTTCCTTCGGGGCTGCATCGAACTGGTATCCCTGGAAGATGGAAGGGAAGGAAGGACAGAGCTCCCAATGTTCCTGCCATTGTTAACTGCACCACTTTTGACTCTGTCATGACGGTCCTTCTTGCCTTGTCGCTGCACAATATTTCCGTAGCTGTGATGGACCTCAGAAAAGGGCAGGAAGGACTTGGGGTGCTGGAAGGAGCTGTGAGGTCTTGCTGTGTGCTGGTGCCGGGATTGGGCGTGGAGCAAGTGGCCCGGGACTCTTTCCCGCCCTGTCGGTTGCACCTGGTGGAGCTCAACCGCGAGCCCGAGCTTGAAATCGCCCCGCTCGGTCTGTGCTCCACCCGACGTCTTCCTGCAGAGTGGTGGCTGTGGTAAGGTAGGTGCTCTTCAAATCTCTCTCCTGCTCCTGCCTCTTTCCCAAAGTCGCTCGCACTTTCTGCTGCACCTGCACAATTCAGAGTTTCCTTTCCGCGACCCCTGCCCGTCTTGCTGGCTAAAACGACCCGGCACTAGTCCCAATGCAGTAGAGTACGAGAAAGAGGGGGGGAAAGAACTGGCTGCGGGCTGGTGGCCGCCCCTCTCTTTCCTTCGATTTCCAGAGTGAATAAGTGACTGGGGCGATACCTCCGCCAGGGCGTATCTTTAACATCACCTGCGGACAGCTCCAAAGTCGACTCCCTCCTTCTCATCGAGATCGATCAACAGAGCGTACCTTCGATCAAACGCTCCCAGATCGCCTAGCGATCGAAACCAGGCGAATGCCACTTTCCCTTTCCGCTACCACATGCCTGTCCTCACTCTCTCTACGCTGGTCTACCTAACGGATACCGCCACTGCACCTCCTCCAATGCCCAGCACCCACCGGGCAGTATCCAGCACACAAAGTACGCACGCAGATTGTACCACCCGGCGCGCTTTGGGGCCTATCCTGGCTCTGGCTGGTCGTTGTTGTACCTTACTTGCTGGCACCAGCAACCCGGCAGCCAGCAGAAGCAAGCACCACACCTCGAGCATGGAACATTGCTCCATTTTACTCCGGTCTAACACCTTACTTTTCACTCGAGCTTGGAGGGGGGACCGCCATCCGTACTAATACTTTGTCCCTAGTCGTTCCAGCCGACCCCGAAGCACGAACCCTTGGTTTGTTATAAGACTTCATTGCTGCCCTGTCCCACTTCCGCCACCTTCCCTTCACACAACCCTTTGGTCTCGACCGTCAAGCTCCCTCGCCGACCACAAACGTACCGAGTCGACTGACACACGCTCGACCACTGCAAGCCATCAACTTACACCACCATCGAAATCGAACAAGGCGTTTCTGGCTTCAAGGTTCTAGCCAATAAAGCCTCATCGCCGTCGGCCCGCAAAACGAATAACCCTGACGAAGCCGAGGAGGACCTTGATCGACTACGCGATCTGCGATAAGCCTCAAGTCAAAATCGATATAATAAACGGATCATCTCCGACGACGACGACGTCAGCGAAAATGCCCAAGCGATCGCTAGACGCAAGCAACATATCGCCCACCATGCAGATGGATAGGGGGCAGAAGAAGGTACGAATCCGTGGAGGACGTCATCGCAATCGGCTCTTCTTCCCTCTGTTGTTCTCCTCAATCTGTATCTTGACCTTCCTCGATGGCCTCAATTTGTTGCTCTCGCTCAATTGCTTGCCACCCACACCCACTGGATGATGCCCACACCATAACAGCCTATCATGCCACAAGCCCACACCACAACAAACTTTCCCACCCTTTGGCCATAGACTAACAGAATCCCGCAGACTGAGAGATCTCACGAAGAGAACCAGGAGCGGGCATACATCGCCGCCTCTCGCCGTGCAGACCGCAGCATTGAAGCTCGCGTCCAGTCCGCAAAGATGGCCAGTGAAATCCACAAGAAGCGAACTGGCAAGGGCTTCAAGATCTCCGAGGCCATTGTCCAGGCAGAGGAGATGTATGAGGAAGAAGAGGACGACATGCCTAGGTCCTACCGCATGCTGGCAGCTCACCTACAGACCGGCTCTCCCGAGTTCGACTATAGAGTAAACGCCTTCTTGGCCAACCGCGTCGCTATGGCAAGCATGGTCGCTGGTCTTCGTAACCAGGAATGGGCCGACAACCCAATCAACAAGATGTTTGCCGAGCAGTTTCCCGATGCCACCAAGCAGGCCCAGGCTCTTTCTCGCAACTTGACCAACTCCATGTACTATCAACCGGTTGCGCCTAACTCGATGCCCCAGCGACAGCCTCAGCCAGACCACCCCGTATCGAGCCCAATGTCGCCTTCATTCAGCACAGTAAATTTCCAGCAAGCCCCACAGCAACAGCCACGGGAGAGAACACAGTCTGTGGCCTCTCCCATGGATGTATCTACGTCAGTGGTGCGAGACGTTGCTCAGTCGCCACCCGCCCTGTCTCCATCCTCAGAGGCAGCCGCTGCTAGTCCGTCAACTCGCACTGCGTCGACTTTCCCGTCGCCAATGACGAGTTTAGACGCGACTTTGTTCCCACTGGAGTCGTCCTTCACCTCCGAGCTGCCTATGGAAGCCAAGATGATGGTACCTAACTTCGACATGAATGACTCCATGTCCCAGATGTTCATGGGCAACCCGTGGCAGCAGCAAGCTTACTACCCCGAGATGGCCGACCTGAAACATGATCCGTCACTCGGGGATCCGTTTACCTCCCACGAGTATTTCGACGGCCACCTCAACCCGTACACTCAACGGTACGACGGTCTTCGCAGCGAGTGCGCTACCCCTGGTCAGACGACCAACGACAGCTGGGACACTTTTGTCAACTTCGACAACTTTGACGACAGTGCCACTGGTACTGCCGAACCGACCTTGTAGTCGGAAGTACACGCGAGGTGAGGGCTCGCGCGTGCTCGGAGGAAAGTGAGGCGGGCTGTAATGAGGAGGACCGGTTGGAAGGCCTCCGAGCACGAAATTACGAAGGGACCCTGGCTGGTTCAGCACGACTTTTTAGAGTTAGCATTGCATCGGTCGGGCCATCAAAAGGAGCATAGGATACCCTTAGCTGTGGCGGCGTTTTTGGTTTTTCCGGGATATCTCTCCAGCGAGCTTTTTGCTATTCTTACGTTTCTGTTTTCAAGTTTCTGTCCGCCATTCGGACTCTGGGCTATTATGCCCCATTTTCTTTATACGGAGGGTGGGATTGGGAGGGCTACGCACCCCTGGAGGTGCAGTAGCCACGGGGTCAAGGCGTGAAGAGACGCTCCCCAGAAAGAGGCGGGAATGTATCTGCCGACATGGACGTGGAGGAAGTGGGGAGACGCACAGAGAGTCACAATCGGGGCGGATGGCGTGGAGGAGGAATCAAAAATCAGGACAAACTCTGAATTTGACGACAGAAAAAGGGGTTCGCAAGAATAAGGTCTCGCCGTTGCGTGAAAGCGGGTGCTGGTAAGAGGCACTTTTCGGCGAGGCCGTCACTTAGTCGAGACTGCACCAAAAAAAAATTAGGAAAAACAGAAGAAAACACTGATTCGTCAAAAGCACGTTCTTCATTGGTGGTTCTGCGCGTTCTGGATGTTGTTCTGATGTGGCATTTCGGTGACATGATTCCATCGTGAGTGGGGTGGGGAAGGTGTGCTGTTCACACACCCCTAGCTTCGTGTCTTCGGCCGCCTTGTCGACGTTCGCCCGTCTGGCGGACCGTTGTCGAAGGGGGCCGTTTAGTGCGGCATGTACTCGAAAGTGAGTAGGTTTGATCCCAGTTATCGTGCGATGTAGGCTGTCCTGAAGCTGGGCTGCTGCCATCTACAGTTCACGCACGAGGTATACGTATTCTCTACCGTGCGAGGCAGTAGGTAGACGGCTCGATTGTTCCTTCTAATGGGTACCACGAGAGGTGACGATGTCAGGTGGTCTCGGGCGTTTTTTACACGACTGACACGACGCCCCTCCCGGTGAGTTCGTGCTGTCGGGCCTTCCAGGTGGAGTATATAAGTAAGATCGCGTTCTGGTAGGAGAGTAATAAGATGGTTGAGAGAATGAAGTTTGGAACTGGAATAACTTTAATGATACGGCTCGACATGTCGTGGGATTGGTGCGTGCTGGGAGCATGGATGTCTACTTGTTTGAGTTGCTGCGTGGTGTTGAACAGCAGGTATTATTCCTTCGCGGATACCTTCAAGGGGGAGATGATGGATGCTTGTGGTGATTGTGTGTCATGTCGAGCTCGGGGAGGTTATTGGTAGGTTCGTGCATAGCTACTCGTTGAGCATGGTATGGTGTTGACGTGATATCATGCAAAGAGAGCTCGCGTCGAAATTGCTGGGTTGTTTTCTTGGACGTGTTGTCTTCTGATATACTCCTCTTCTGTGTTCTTGAGGAAGATGGTTTCTTGGAGTTTGGGGTTGGGGGTTGTATATAAATGCCTTCATTGGGCTGTTTCTTTCCATTGGAGACCAACGATGAGAATCCTCCAGTCCAGTTCTGGTGAAGTTCCCATTTTTGATCGGCGAAAATAGCATTATATCTTTTACAGATTTGACGTGATGTGATGATGGAGGTGAGGGAGGGTGGCTTCGGGGAGAGCTATCCTCATGGTGTTTATATGTTGATACTGAATACATAACCGATGAGGGTGAAGGATGGTGATAGCGCGAGTTTTATCACAAGCTGGCAGTATACGCATGCTGGACGTTCTATGTTCTTCGGAAGAACCTGAGTTATGGATGAAACGGTATGCTTGTCGAAAAACATTTCAAGAATCATTTCACGCTCCCACCCCATATCGCTACATTTGTTGGTTGAACATCTCGCAACGAGACGTGCGAGCGGAGGAGCGTTTTATACCCTCTGGGAGGTAGTTTGACTTTGTTTCCCAAGTGGTATCACGGCAGCCAGGACGGCTTGGGAGGGAAAATAGTAGTTCGGTGACAAGAAGGTCCCTCCTCATAAGACCTTGCTCTTGCTGGAGTTACGCATACATACCCTTAAAGAAATGGGGACTATGTTATGGTTTGGAACTCAAGCTCGTGGCTTTGCGAAGCGGCATCCCAAATTTCTATTTAAAGTCGTCATCACTTTGCAGTAGACTTTAATGTATCCCCAGGTGATTCGGGCGTTGAACGTAAGTAACTTTGCTTTCGAAGTAGGTTGCTCTCTTGCCATGTCCATTGGATCCTTTGTAATATAATGCAGTATCTTGGGAAAGGCCAATAGCTGCTCCATTACCCTTTATGTCATTAGGGTGAATATCTCGAGGACAGCAATGACTGAAAACGGCGGTGGGGATTCTCTCTATTGGGGGTTTCCTTTTGGCTTGTCGTTGGAACAGCTAAGGTGTTGATGTGGCTCTTGATGAATTTGTCTCAAACTCAAAGAGAATCAGTAAGAAAGCATGAACATGGATGTAGCCGGACTGAGTGTCTTTGTCTGTATTTCTCTAGAGCGTATTTATCTTGTTTTGTAACAGGTTCTATGAGATGGGCTTCGTTTCTCAGATGCTCGGAAGGCCGATCCAAATTTGGTTTTGCCATGGCACAATCCTATCCCGTAGCCACGCTTGTTGGTAGGGCGAGTGTCAATCTTAACGTCTCATACAACTCCTCAGTATAAAGTATTTCTTTTATCAATTCAGTCACATAGACAAAGACACAATGGTACCGATGCAATGGGTGCTCTGATTCTCAGTCACAGCAGCCTGTCTGGATATATCCGCGGAAAACACGATGCTGAGAGAAAGCCTTGTCTGAGCTGTATCTTGCTGGAGAGATTCGCGATACTGAGGACGAATAACCTACAAACAGAGAGGGAAATGATAGGTGACGAATGACGTTATACAAAATGGAGACCTGTCCCCCGGCCTTTGGGTCCGACCTGCATCGCGATATAGAAGTTGCCAGAAGCTGTGGCCTTGTCAGCTAAGACGACTGCTCCACCAAAGAATGTCCGATCGATGATTGGCTGTGAGAAGATTGCAATCGTTGCTGGTCATCCTGTTTTATGTCTTCCCTGGGTGTTTCGATCATGCCGGTGTTCTCGGCTGGGAACCCCGCTTCCAACGACCCCGCGTCCGGAAACACGGGGGTATGGCCCCGCTGTTACGGCGTCGGGACGGGCGGGGAAGACGGGTTTTTCGATATTTAAGTTGAGAGGTCAACTAGGTTAACGTAAAACAAGACAATGGATTTCTTCATTCCACTGTGTACAAGTTCATGACTGAGGGCGACATGACTTGCTGGTACTCAAGGAATTGCATAGGTCCATGGCCAATGGCTGTTGCTCAGGCTGACAGCTGCAACGCGAAAGTTGACCTTGTGTCGTGGCGTCTCTCACTTTCGTCAGTTTGCGAGTATTACTAGATGAGTGATTGGCAGGGGAAGAAACGTTTTGGGTGTGAGGTCAGCTGAGTGATGGATATATGACTAGACTTGGCGTTTCCGATACTCTGGCATAAGATGCTACGAGAACAACATGGCATGTTCAATTTCGATTCTCTTTGGGGAATGAATATTCAATCAATTTACTGTGTTTCTATATACCTAGTCACAAGTTTCAATTTGGTTTGCGCCATGATTTTAGGGGCGTTCTCCCCCATCTGCCCAATGTCACGTGTGGGAGTGCCTGGGCTTGGACCAGGCTTCGAGCCCGTTGGAAGTGCATGCGAGAGCTACCCATATAAAACCTCGCCGGGCGTTAATTTCAATGCTCCCGAGCATAGAAGGCCCGGTTCGGTGTCTGTAAGCTTCCTTCACATAAAATTGGAGAGTTAGTTACCAGGCTTGCCATCATCTCCCAGAGGCCACAGCTGGGACTGGAAGTTGAATCGACGACGCTGAATACTACATTGATCAAGATTGACTTACAGCTGTCTGTCACCATTTTTCTTGATCTGGCGAGTATTCTACTGTGCGGTGTTACGTCTTTTAGACAGTTTTCTGCCTAGATAGGGATGTGACTGTGGAGATAGGGGTGCGAATGTGGCGATGGGGGTGCGAATGTGGCGATGGGGGTGCAACTGCGGACCACTTTGCGACATCCCCAGCCGCGACGCTCCTACATTTCGATCCTAGAAAACACAAATGTCATACTTATACTCTTTAAAAGATCACAGATTGCTCGTACGGTGAAGTGATCCAGAGTCTCACAGGCCGTAATTTTATCCTGCGAGCAGCCTGCTAAGAGAACGTCAGGTGTAGCCATACCACTGAACTCAGACCGTTCACGTGTCTATGAAACTCTCTGGTTGGAAGAAGGCTTACTAGATCTAATTACCCCGAGTTAGCTTAGAGCCGTCTTTCCTGCCAACGCATGAAAGGCTTGCATAGATAAAGCTTCTGCTGATGGGTGCAGGTTTGTTGAGTTGTTTCATTCTAAAGCTCATACGCAACTAATCTCACGGCCCCTGGTCCTGTCAGACGTTGATCATGGTTTTATAACAGTGTTGAATAATATAAAGAGACCGGTGCTGGAGGACGATGATTCGAAAACGCATTCAAAGTCCAACTTTGTATGAGTGTTACTGAAGGGATGCACAAAGCAGGTTATCTTATCACTGCCACATCAGTTATGACTGAACGCTGCCTGCATCCGCCACGTCAAGAGTGATCAGCAAGTTGCAGAACAACATAAGTAAATACCTAGCAAGTATAAACAGTAATAGGTCGCTGGCGCGAGACCCCAAAATTGTGGGGAAATCGCGAAGATCGTGATTTTAAACAGATGATAAGATTGAGTTGATACACAATTATGCTCCTTTTTCTTCAAGTAGTGTCCATGTCCAACCCTTGGATGGCGCCTTATTAGACGAGTAAGAATGTTAAAGCGGTTATGCAGAATGCGTCAGATGGTATAAAAGTATTGATAGTTGTGCAATGTTTGTTGATGGATAGGCCTTCCACGTCCATAGACTCATCCGATTATTAAAAGGGAAGGAATAAGACCCCAAAGGCTGTACAACTGGGATCTGTAACATCAGGGCCAAACCACGGTTCGAATTTGCAACTACCGCTCTATCCCGCCTTGACGTCCATCATCCCAGGAGCATTCATATGAATATGAGTATGTTGGAGATGCTGCTGTGTCTCATGTCCTTCTCCTTTCCATTGTTCTTTTCTCGCTATACTGCTGGTTAACTCTAATCCAAGATGGTAGCAACCCAGTAGCTCCAGATGCTCTATTCGTGCTTGCGGTCGTCCTATACATGACATTTGTCCTCGAGCAATATATGCTAGGTTCCGGGCATCAATCCGGCCTGGCTCGGATCTCTGCGACGGTAGGTAGGTAAAGTTCGGGATCCGATATGCTGGACCCCACGGAAATCTCACGTCCAGTCTAGATTCGGGATGAACAATAAAGCTTAACTTCGCAATGTGTTCTTCAATGATTACCAGTGAGTCAGATCATGGCAATGCAGCAGACTTAATTTCCTTTAGAATGAACTCCATGGAAATACACTTGTCAGAACAAATGCAATACGCCGCGCAATACAATGCAGCCACCCTTATGATCTGGTCATAGATATCTCGCCATACCCAACGAGTACACATTTAACATTCAATATTCTGAAAGAATAAAACTCTGTCCTGATACATACATACACTTGTCAGAATGTCGATGCCGAGTTCTATTATCGACGAATCAAGCTGCTTCTCAGTCGCGCCAGCGTTTTCGTCGAATATATAAGTGCATAGGAAATGCCAAACTGTGAAGTTCTGAGCAATATCCATGTTGATTATATCCTGGTGACTCGGTGAGAAAGTCCAGTTTTCCTCCAGATGCGGACGTGCCTTACACAACATAAAAGGCTCGAAGAGCTTGACAGTTCGGGGAAATCGAACATCATCGCCGTTGCCGTCTTGCATCTGGCAGCTATTCATAAGTTTCGTCTTGGATTATACATGCTAAGTTCGCAATGTCCTGGCCAGCTTGAACTTGGCTGCGAAAGACCGGGCTGATGGCTTGTCGTCTTCGTTGAACCACTTTTGAGACCTCATCCACATCCCTAAAGTCGCACGAAAAGACTCAAGGTACAGAATTATACCGAAGAATCATAGAGGTTAGAAGATATACTGCTTCGAACCCTCAATGTGCATTAAGGAAACCAGTTGGCTGTATGACGAATGTAGCACGGAGGCGAACTCAGTTGACTTGGGTAAATATCATTCTTTTAGATGCCGGGTATCATACAAAGCTACATTATTCCCCGTTCGCTTCGACCTCCGCCTCTGCTTCTGCCTCAGCCTCCGCCTCAACCCTCTCTTTCCTCTCCTTTTGCTGCGGCTTGACCTGCCCCATTCGCTGCTGCTCCAGCTTCCTCCTCTCCCACGGCTTCAGCTTCATCTCCTCCGCAGGGCCGTCGACCTCCTTCGCCCACTTGACCCAGTCCGACCGCCTCGTCTTCCACATGTCACCCTTCCACGTGCGCCACACGCTGCGTCCGAACCACGACTCGCGCAGCGCCCGCTCGTGCTCCGCCAGCGAAGACATGATGGTCTGCTTGAGGTGGAACGGCACCGAGCGGTCCTTGCCGCGCGAGGGGACGTCGACGATGGCGTTGACCACGTTGTGGCCGGTCTGAGACTCTGCCAAGTCGCCGACGAGCGGGGCGAGGGCGCCGATGAGGATCTTGTGGAAGAACTCGTTTTGCTGCGCGGCAGGGCTGGCGAGTGCTGTTGTGAGGACGTTCACGGTCGCCATGGATTGTGTCGCGAGCTTGAAGAGGAGGTCGGAGGTGAGGGAGGTGAGGGACTTCTGGGCGACCTTCGCAGATTGACCGGGGATGCTGAGCATGGCTGACACGAGGTGTGCGCCGTGTGCGGCGATGGCGTTCTTGTTCTGGGGAGCCTGTGACTGTTGGAACTTCTCCTCTTCAACGGGCTCCTCCTCGACCAAATGGCAGAGCTTAGGCACGAGGTCCTTGGGGTCGGACCCGAGTGCTTGGGTCAGCGCCCTGGTGAGAGCAGCCTTCTCCTCGTAGGCACCACGGGCCTCGCAACGCTCGAAGAGGGTCTTGAGGACGTTGTAGCGGGCCTTGGAAACCAGGGTCGGGACAATCGGAATGATCTTCTGGACGGCCTCGACAAGGTCATCCTTGCTGACACGGTTGAGGACACGGAGAGCAGGGTACGAGGCAATGTCGTTGCGGACGTACGTCGCGATGCGCTCGCCGAAGAAGTTCTGCGACAGGGCCTTGAAGATCTTGCCGGGACAGTGCGTGATGAGGGTCTCGAGAAGACGGGAACCGATCTGATCGTAGACCATACTGTTGACGAAGTCCGCCGCTTGCGAGGTGCTGTCGCTGAGGGACTTCGGGGCGTCAGGCAAGAGCCTGTACAGCAGAGTCTCATTGCTTGCCGCTGCCGAAGACTTGTCGCTCTTGTGGTTGAGGGAGATGTCGAGCTCCAGCAGGAGCTGCAGGAGAGGGTTGCCGGTTGGGTGCTTGGCGAGAACACGCAAAGCGGTGAAGTCCATGCCGGCGACGGCATCCTGGATGATCTTCTTTGTTGCCATTATGAAGGACTCGGGGACGGCTCTGAGCCCTTGGCTGAGATCTTGAGAAGCAGCACCGGCTCCCGCGACAGAGATGTGCTCCTTCTTCTTGCTCTTCAGCAGCGACTTTGTTGCTGAGTCCTCCAACGGGCGACCAGAGAGGACAACGAGGAGCACTCGCAGGGTGTGGGATCCGAATCGGTCAGTGAGCAGGAAGCCCATGTGTTGCTCGAACTCGTCCAATGTCATGAGGAAAAGATTCTCCATAGTCGTGTCCTCCTTTGCTTCCTCGCCATCCTGCATCTCCGTATCATCCTCATCCTGCGTTTCGGGAACAATACCACCCAGCTCCTGTGTAACGACCGGGGCAGACTGCAAGAACAGTGTTTCGCAGCAGTGACTGGCGAATCGGTGCTGAACAAGCGACAGGAAGTGGCCTGCAAAAGCATTGAAGATCTGCTTCTTCTGCTTGATATTCGAAAGCAAGATCAAGCGCTCCATCAAACGCGACAGCGATTGACTGCTAGCGAGCTTGAGCTCCTTGCCCTGGGCCTCCTTGTAGATGTTCTGCAGAAAGACGTCGCGCTCTTCCGTGGTAGGGAATTGGTTCAACTCGAGAAGTTCGTCGGCGCGGCGGAAGTATTCCTGCTCCTCGTCGGCGAGCATGCCGAAAAACTCTCTCTCGGGGCCATTGCTGGGGAACGACTGCTGTTGCTCGCCGTCATTCTCGTAGTCGTTGGCAGGCTCCGCGTTTTCTTCGGTCTCGTCTTCGGTGCGTCTGCGCTTGGCTCGCCGTTCTTCGAAGTTGGCCTCGTGGGTCTCCCTCCTCTTCTGCTTTCGCTCGTCGCGAATCGCTTGTCGTTTTGTTCTGGGCTTAGGCATTGTGACTGAGCGTGACCGATGCAGGTGCAATTGAGTGGGTGGCTGAGGAACAGAGCGGAACTCGTCGCATGTGCTTTGGAAGCTGAGCCGAGAAAAAAAATTTGGCCAGCGCCTGCTATCTTATCTCTTATCTTATCACGACCCCACCTTCCTCCCTGCCCTTGACGATGCCCCTGCCTTCCATTCCTCGATGTCAGCTTAAACGTCGTTCTCTCCTTCTGTTTCTCATTGCGACGTTTCCTTGGACCTACATTTGAATTTCAGACGCCCAGCTTGCGATAAACTCTTGCAAAATGAATTCAGAACCTTGACCAGATATATTCTGATGCACACCGAACATTGGACGACGAACTCCCATTCGGCGCCCGAGTGCATGAACATGTAAGTCTACGAAATGGTCTAGGAATATGGCGCTGACAGATCGTACAGTATTCGTCTATCGTTCTATCTATGATTGTTTTCGTGTACTCTTGAGATGCTCGATTCTCAGATCCCTATGTACCGGTAGTCATCCATCGGCTCATACCACAACCTCCTTGCCAACCTCCTCCAACGCCTTGAACAGACCATCGACGGTTCCCTTCAAGGTTTGGCAGTTCACTACCACGCGGAAGAAGCTTCCCTTCTCTCCTGGAGCATAGTCCACCATGAAACCACGCTCGATGAGCCTGGCAACCATTTGGCTCGTACGTTTTGTGTTGTTCTCCGGTTGCTCCGCAAGCTGACCGTTGGGTGCGTAGTAGAAGCAGACCTGCAGGCAGGGCGGCGGGTTGCTCGACACCAAAACGAAGTTGCTGCTGTTTTGCACCAGCGTGGCAAGATGCTCTGCTAGCGAGAAGGCATGGTCGATCTGCTTCTCAAACCCGCCAGCACCATAATAGATCCACGCAAGGGCCAGCTTGAGACTGTCACCCCTACGACCGCACTGCAGGGTCAGGTCTGCAAGGTCCCAGACATCGTCGGCCTCATCCACGTTATGGAAAAGGTACCCGGCAGGAAGAGTGTTGGCCTTGTGGAAAACCTTCTCGTCTGGAGTCAGGAGAAACGAGCACGTCACCGGCACGTTCATCATCTTGTGGGGGTTGACAGTAAGGGAGTCCGCCAGATGCGAGCCCTTCAACTTGGACTTCTGCTTGTTCGAGAAGATGGCGGATCCTCCCCAGCTTGCGTCAATGTGGAACCACATTCCAAACTCCTTGCAGATCGCCGAGATCTCCTCGAAAGGGTCGTACGAGCCCATGACTGTTGTTCCTGCCGTGGAGTTCACGTACAGAGGCGTCTTGCCCTCCGACTTGGCTCGCACGACCAGCTCTCTCAGTGCGCTAGGAATCATGCGGCCCTCGGAGTCGATCGGCACCGCCCACACGCTTGAGGCACCGAGACCGCACGTCAACGCACTTTTCTCGACAGAGTAGTGCCCGTGTGCACTAGTGAAGACGACGAAGTCATGCGAGCCATTTCCAGTTGCCTTGGTCTCCGGGTACAGCGCGCTGCGAGCGACTACCAGGGAAGTCAGGTTGGATGAGCTGCCACCCTGACATGTGACACCACCAGCTCGCGGGCCGGTGAAGCCAAACAAGTTCGCAAATTTTCGTGCAGTGATCTTCTCAATGATGCTCAATGCCGGCGAAACTTGATATACATGCAGCTAACTTGGTCAGTAGTTGCTCCGGTCCCGCGGAAGATGACTCACATTTGTGTTCAATATAGACAAGAGCAGGTCCGACACAACTCCGACCTAACGGATTAGCGATGCTTTGGCAGATCAAGAAGCGGACTTACAGGAGTGTTACTGGCATAGAGCTTGTCCATGAAGCCTTGGTCCCAGGTGTTTACGCTGTACCTCAAGATCTTCTGCACTACGTCGAGCAAGCCCTCTTTACCGAGGCCATCACCCTCAGGCAGGGAGAACTTCAACTTCTCCACGAGGGCTTCGGGCTTCTGGGTGTCTACCAGCACATTGCTTGGGACGCCGTCGATGTTCACCGAGGTGTTGCCGGTCGCCTTCTGACTTGCGGCTTCATCAGCAGCTCTGATGTAGGGAACGACCAGCCCTTTGACTGCTTCGAGCAACTGCAGTCAGATGGACATATTAGCCAATGTCTGGCGGCTTTCTTTGAGTCATTTCCGCGGAAATACCTACATCATCGACTTCTTCAGCTCGCCTTAGTTGCTGCAGGGCAGCATGGTTGCCATTGACGCCGTTCATGATGATGGTCAAGACCGGATGAAACGGGTAAAAATTCTCTCAGAGCAGCTAATCCCGCAAATATTATCGAGAAGAGTATTCAAGTTCCCAGAAAATGACTGTCGAATATACGTCAAGCTCAACAGACGGCCCGGTCTACCGAAATGCTCAGTACTGCGATGCTCTGCCAGGATAAGAAACGGGAAGAAATTCCTCATGGGCCGGCCCTCTTTCGGATGACGGCACATCGGAGAGAATTGGCGCGACCGCGGCCGGGGTTAGCCGCCGTCGCCGCTGACCCGCCGCCGATGGATTTCATAATCATCGGCGATTTTTCGTCATTTGACGGCGAAGCGGGGTTGGCCAGTTCGCTTCCCAGTTTATATGTGCTTCAAGAGCCCATCTGCTCAATCATCTATGAGAGAACCAAAGCCATCGATCATTGCAGATACCGGACGTCTTGCTAAGCGTCCCAGCAAGTGCAGGGAGCAATTCCTCCAGACTGCCAACACGGACGCCGGGGCTGGTGCGACCCGGCCCCGACAGCCGCTAACTTTGAAGGCCGCACAGCTTAGACACTGAGCCGTCTCCGGCTGTCCCGCCCGCGCCGTCCCTTGGACATGTCTCACCGTGACGCCGGCCCCTTTTGCGTGCGTCCCGAGAGCATGGCGACGCACGCTGCAGGAGAATTGGGCTGCATATGTTGGGCCTGGCGAGGTGTTTGCTGCTTCTGGTTCTCGCAGGCATGTTGACTCGGGCCATGTTTGTTTCTGTCCCAGCAGCTTGGGCGGATCAGACGACAAGCGCCTCTTATTGACAGGGCATGGAATTGGGCAGCAAACATTTGTCGTCTGACTCTGGCGAGTAATGGAACGACACTTTTCGGAATACGGATTCGCTTTGCAGTGATGGGCGACGCATAGAGAGCAAGACTTTCGGTTTTCTGGCATGTTGCGGGCGTCTTTCGCCAGATCCTTGGGTCTCACAGCAGCTTTCTCACCGCTTCAACTGCAACGTTGTCTTACCCCCTGCGTTGGCTCCTCAATAATCTGCCATTCGTCTCGACAATCTCAATGATCTCCTCGCCCGCAGATGACCGCGAAAACTCTGTCGGCAAGTTCCTCGTGTCCTGCAATCACGACGCCAGGGAATGGCAGATCCCGCTGAAGCGAATGTGCTTCCAGCTCGGGCTCCCGTCCGTGCGCATCTATTCGAAGGCCGAGCGGTGGGCTCGCCATCTCCCGGTTGTGATTAAACCGGAAGAGGCTCCGCATGGCAAATCACCGCCGGCACTTGCCTGCTTCTCGAAAGGGTTGACGATGGAGCACGAAGCTGTCATTGACAGACGGTAGTCGTTTTAGAAATCACGGGGAAGTTTCATGAACTGAACCCTTGGGGTAAGGGAGAGTGCCGGGCATAAGTGTGATCAATGCAGGTACGTGGCATCTGAAGATGGTTTGAAACAGGAACATCGATCGTGACGAAGGGAAGGATACTCACTTTCGCGATGGGCGACCAGCGCTTGTCGAATGAGCAAAACATTCAGAAGAGAGTCGTTGCGCGCGGCAGGGCTGCATCTCAGCTGTGCGACGGGACCCCGTGGGCTTGCATGCAGCCGTCTTCCCGTGCATGCGACTCGATCGCAATCAGGCCGAGCAGAAGAAGCTAACGAGCGGCCCGACTTCTGCTGCACATTGACGCGGTGGCTTGCAGGGAATGCCGTCGACAAACCGACCTGATTTTGCGTGATTGGATGTGCAGCAGCATATCCCAGTGGACACACGTGGTACGGCATTCAGGAACCAGGCACGGAGAATGCCAGAGGAAAGCGAGGAAGCATCTCGAATGATGCAGATGCAGATGACAGACTTCGAGTGTCCATCGGCCATGGAGCCGGGGAATCGGGGCCAAGACGATGCGACGGGAAGAGCGTCATCAAGTTTCCGTCGCACCGGACTCGCGTGGTTCCTTTGCCCTGGACTACGCCACCTTGGGAAGGTCGGCGGTGGTGTTCGTCTCCCTGCATGCGCCCAGTGTGGTGACCCTGCAACATCAATTCGTCGGAGACGGTCGTTTCTTTTGCTTTTTGCTTGGGAGGCGTGGGGAGATATCGGCCGAGGACGAGATATGCTTGTTCTGGCTGACAGATTCTGGAGTCGCTCGAGACTGGGGACATCCATGGCAATCTGTGGCCACTGACCGTCACGCACCGTCACCGAGCAGCTCTGCTTTTCTCGAAGACGACACGGTCGAATCAAGGTTTTTGTAGGGCATCAATGGACGACCAACGCGCCCTACCCAAGGCTGGGCCTGGATCACAACGTTTCAGCGAGCTAAACAGCTTAGGCAATTCATCAACGGCGTCGTTTGTTGCTGTCGCGCTGTGCCTGGTTCCTGGGCCGTCGGGGGACGATCACCTGCCGCATTCAGGGGCGGGACGACGCCGACCACCACCAACACGAAGCAGGGACAAACGGCCAGGTTGGGGAAAGAACTGCATTGGGCGAGCAAGCTGAGTGTTTTTGGGGGCGGGAAGTTCGCGCGTGGCGGCTTTTAGGCCGAAAATCAAGGTGGCTGCTGCTGGGTGTGACGAGCTAACATCTCGACCACTACAGGCTCACAGATAAGCGACCACGTTTCTGACGAAGACGTGATTTCATCCGAGTTGGCTTTAGGGGGGGTTGGGACAATTGACAGACAATTCGAGACAGGTTTGGAAAAGGGGTACGGATGATGATATCTTTCTGGATTGAGTATCCCCCCAGTCGATGAGGCTTTCTTCTTGCTGCAGATATCGAATTGCAGAGATCCACGCCTCATTTCGAGATATCGAAAAAAACCGGCAGGAGGAGGCTCCGACTGTTTTGTCGCGCTGGCGGCTTCGCTCTCAGATGCAATATCAAAACGCATGTAATCAACTGAATCGGGTCTCGTTCATTAAAAGACCCCCGGTCTGCGCACCGACAGGATCCCGGCCGCGGGCCCTGAACTCTCGGGACGACATGTCCAGAAACAGAAAAGAGGCCACCCCCATTCCTCCCGTCGAAGCAAAGAAGAATGCGAGTGAGAAAATTTGACGAGTCGGATTATATTGGGAGGACAGAGATATGACTGGGCATTTCGTATGCACGGGACATGATAGGGGGCAAAAGGAGGGCACTGCAAATTTGCATCTCTCCTCGTGTCATTATTCTAGAATTTCCATACATGAAGCAGCTTTTGGCCGTCATATCTCGTTGGAGCTTCCCATAACTGTACACAGAGCCAGCAGACCTAGATCATTGGATCGCAACACATCGAAACACCAAAGCCACGCTACCACAAAACCTCGACCGACAAGAAGCCGTGACGCAATCCGTGTTCTATCCCACCTCAAACAACCCACGCCACGCCAATCCAAGCACCCATAGCTCAGCAAGAGAGAAAAGAAGAGGCCCCGGACACTGCAAGGAGCTCCCCTCCTCGTCGAGCTAGCTCTGCCCCTCCACAGCCCACCACGCGCTCGCCGCCGAGACAGAGCCGCGCAGCAGTCCGAGTCGCAACCAAACAGGAGGAGGAGCCTGGCGTGGCTGGGTCATCAAGGCGGAAAGGAGGAGGAGCCTGGAGGTGCCATCAGAGCGTCTCACAAGCTTCATCCCTCAACAGCCAGAGACCGGGGTGGTTCGTGTGTTATTGTCGTTGGTGCCCTTTTTTTTTTTTTTTTCTTGCGCTCGAGCAGCAAGCTTCCTTTGGGGTGGAGGGAACACGCGGACAGCAGGAGAACAAAAGGCAGGGTGGCCATTTGCTTGGTTCATCCATCCGTTGTTGCTTTTTTTCCTCTCGTGTTCTTCTTCTTCGGACATTCTCTTCGCCTCTTTTTTTGTCATCAACTGGGATCTTTGTAGAACCGACGGGGGAACGAACGCAGTATTTTTTACTTTTCTTTTTTGCCTTCCCGCCCCCAACACCACCACCACGAAAATCAACCTTTCCATCCCGTTCATCCATCGATCCTACATTTCGACATAATTAGCAACGGACAGCAGTCAGCGACCGCAACCGCAGCACCACCGACCGAGTTACGAGTACGCCTGTGCCTTCAAAAAGCAAGTGCATCCCCCACCTGCATGCCACCTGCACCTGCAGCACCTGCGCGCCGGGCCACTAGTCTCTCTCCAACCAACCAACACCGTCGTCATACCTCAAATTCCCATCTGAACTTATTACTCGCCGCATCTCGCTCCCGCACCTCTCACCCTCACCCTCACCTACACCTTCAACCCACACGGCAGACACGAACCCCGACTCTCACCTGTCGACTGCATCCCGAACTCGACGAACCAAGTCACTCAATCGCAACGGGAAAGAAGACAGGAGCTGTCTCACACGGTCGATACGAAATCGTCATTTCGTCCCAATCACCGCGCAGCAATTTACGGACCGTCCATCCATCCCCCACCACCAAGCTCCGGTCCGCAGAACCCCCAAAATCATCGTCGTCAACGACCGACGGACGCCACACAGACCGCACAAAGTCTTATTTGTTTGGTTTCCCCCAACACGCACACACCAAATCTACAAAACGAACGAGTCCTCTTTCGTCCGATTGCCAGAACGCCTCTCTCAGCTTACACAGGCTCGAAACCCATCATCGCCGCGGGCTTCCTAACCCAAAAGAAGAAAAACGGTCGAACCGCGCGCGCACGCCGCCCGCGGTCTGAGAGCCGAACCCAAACTAAAGGCCTCGTCCGAATTACACCCCCAAACCAAAGCAAACTCTCACTCAGCCTCCCAGCTGCTGAGGTGAGGTGTGTTTCCCTTTAACCTCCCGTCAAGCGCGCCATTCTTTTTCTTTCCCCAGCTTTTCCTCGGCTCTTGTTGCAGACAGAAAAGAAAGCTTGATTTCTTTCGCGAGCTCTTTTGTTCTGCTGCACACTGCGACAAGCCGCGAAACGTCGTCCCACAAAGCGACACCCGCACCGTTTAATCAGTCGCGAATCCTCTCCTCGCCCACGCGATCGGTGACGACACACGCCTTCTCCCCAGGACATATCCCCTCGCGAGGGTCACACTTTCACCAAACACCACACAACCACCAAACCGCCCAAAATGTCAATCTCACAACAACCCCCGATACCAATCTCCATCACGATCTGCGGCGACGGCGGCTGCGGAAAATCCTCCATCACCCTCCGCCTCGTCCGCTCCCAGTGGACCTCGGACTACGACCCCACCATCGAGGACTCGTACTCCATCACCCGCAAGATCGACGGCCACAACTACCACCTCTCCCTCACCGACACCGCCGGCCAGGAGGAGTACCGCGGCATGTGGGCCTCGTCCAACCTCGGCGCCGACGCCTTCCTCCTCGTCTACGACATCACCTCCCGCGACTCCCTCGACGCCCTCGCCTACTTCAACGACCTCATCGACATGGAGGCCGAGACCCGCCTCGACAACGCCGACCGCGCCAGGCGCGCAGGCATCTCCCCCGCCTCCTACCGCGACACCGTCTCCGCGCAGCCGGGCGCTAAGACCGTCCCCCCCGTCAAGATCGTCGCCGGCAACAAGTGCGACCTCCAGGAGTCCCGCGCCGTCCCCGCCGCCGTCGGCCTCGACTGGGCGCGCCGCCGCGGCTGCGGCTTCATGGAGACCAGCGCCCGCCTCGAGGTCAACATCGAGGAGACCTTCGCCCTCATCGTCCGCCGCGTCGTCGAGGCGCGTCGCCTCGCCACCATGGGCGTCAACGAGAACATGGAGATGGACCGCCGCGGCATGACCAAGCCGCTCGGGCCCCCTCCGGCCAGCGGCCGCGGGAGCGAGCAGAACGAGAAGCGCGGGCCGGGCGTAAGGGGTCCGAATCTGGACGGCGGGAAGATGAAGGGGCCTTCGATATGGAGGAAGTTGAGGTGTTGGTGAACACCACTCGCGACATCATCTACAGCCGGGGTATTGTAGAAAAGGGCAAGGCGGATTAGAAAAAAAGAGAGGGGGAGCAGAATTACTAACGAAACGTCATGACACGCGCCAAACGTCTGTACGAGGGGCCGGGAGGTGGCGGCACTTTGTGCACTTTCAATTTTCTTTTGTCTTTTGCAGGTGGAACGAATGCATACAGCAGGAGGAGGGAGGTGCTTACGCAGCGTCCCCTCCATTCATGCAATACCCTCCCGTATGGCGTCAGGGAGTTACGATCCTTCCAAACCCTTTTCTTTTAATCATGGCTTTTGTAAGGCCTATGTTTTTTTATACATGTTTTAGTATGTCTAGATACCACGGCGTATGCGCGGTCGACGAAGGCTCCCGTCGTAACCCTTACCCCCACCGAAGAGAGGATTCATTTTCTGTGTCTTGGTGCTTGATTTCAGCGATGGTGTTGGTGTTTGTGATTGTCTGTGGTCATGTATACTGGCGAAGTGGTGGCATTGATTGTGTCTAAACCAGAGAAACGAGATGTGAATTGTTTGTTTAGAAAGTATAAAAGAACCACTACATCTAACGAGATGAGCATGTATCCCATCATTTAACCCATCCAACGCCGGAACATGAAACCCGTGTAAGCGTCTCTTCATCTACTTTACCACGCAGGAAACAAGTCTAGTTCGAAATCTTGGAGACGGTCTTCTGCCAGAGGCCGTTGTGGGACCACATCCAGTTCTTGAGGAAGGGGGGGTCCATACCCGTCTCGAAGGCCTCGTTGCGGGCGGCGATCTGCTGGTTGAGGAGGGCCTGGCGGGCGGAGGCGCCGCGGTTGTGGAGGAGGGGCATGCGGTCGATGGCGTCCATGGCGAGGGAGAAGCGGTCGGTCTGGTTGCGGATGGCGAGCTCGAGCGGGGTGTCGATGTTGCCCTTCTCCTTGTAGCCGCGGACGTGCATGTTGATGGAGCCGGGGCGCTTGTAGGTGAGGCGGTGGACGAGCCAGGGGTAGGAGTGGAAGTTGAAGATGACGGGCTTGTCGTCGGTGAAGAGGGAGACCCACTCGGCGTTTGTGAGGCCGTGGGGGTGGTCCTCGTGGGAGATGAGCTTGAAGAGGTCGACGCAGTTGACGCAGCGGATCTTGAGCTCGGGGAAGTGCTGGAGGAGGAGGTCGATGGCCGCGAGGGACTCGTGGGTGGAGATGTCGCCGCAGGAGGCCATGACGAGGTCGGGCTCCTCGCCCTGGTCGGTGCTGAACTGGGGCCAGATGCCGATGCCCTTGGTGCAGTGCTCGACGGCCTTCTCCATGGAGAGGTACTGCAGGTGCTCCTGCTTGTCGGCGACGATGACGTTGACGTAGTTGGAAGAGGCCAGGCAGTGGTCCATGGTGGAGAGGAGGCAGTTTCCGTCAGGCGGGAGGTAGATGCGGACGACCTCGGGGCTCTTGTTGGCGACGACGTCGAGGAAGCCAGGGTCTTGGTGGGTGAAGCCATTGTGGTCCTGGCGCCAGACGACGGCGGTCAGGAGGATGTTGAGCGAGGCGATCTTGTTGCGCCATTCAACCTCGAGGGCCTTCTCGATCCATTTGCAGTGCTGGTTGACCATGGAGTCGATAACGTGAACTGCAAAATTGGTTAGCGACATTCTTTTTTGTGGCTGCGGGAAATTGCTTACTGAAAGGCTCGTAGCTGTTGAGCAGACCGTGTCGGCCTGTGAGGATGTAGCCCTCGAGCCAGCCCTCGCAAGTGTGCTCGGAAAGCATCTCCATCACGCGACCCTCGGGAGCAAGGTTGCCGCCGTTGGCATCCTCTTCGAAGTACTCCCCCATCCAGACCTTCTGGCCGGCCTCGTAGACCTTGCCAAGCTTGTTTGACTCGGTCTCATCAGGGCCAAACAGACGGAAGCTATTCTGGTTGAGAGCAATGACGTCCCTGAGGTATGTAGCCATGTTGTTCATGCTAGCAGCGTTGGTCGCGCCGGCCTTGTCGACCTTGATGGAATAGTTCTTGAAGTCGGGAAGCTTGAGCGGCTTCCTCAAGACACCACCGTTAGCGACGGGGTTGGCACTCATGCGGCGTTGGCCAACTGGGCACAGAGACTTGAGCTCATCGGAGATCTTGCCATCCTTGAAGATGCGCTCGGGCTCGTAGCTGCGCATCCACTTCTCCAAAATCTTGAGGTGTTCCGGGTTGGAGGCGACGCTGGGGATGGGGACTTGGTGAGCTCTCCAGTAGCCCTCCATGAAGTTATCGTCAATCTTGCGGGGGCCGGTCCAGCCCTTGGGACTGCGGAGAACGATCAGGGGCCACATGGGGCGGAAGGCCTTGCCGGACTCACGAGCCTGCTTCTGGTACTTGCGGATCTCCACGACGCAGTGCTCGAGAGTGGCAGCCATGGCCTGGTGCATGGTGTTGACATCGTCGCCTTCGACGAAGTACGGTTGCCAGCCGTAGCCGAGGAACAGGTTCTCGAGCTCTTTGTGTGAGATTCTGGCCAGAATGGTGGGGTTGTTGATCTTGTAACCGTTGAGGTGCAAAACTGGCAAGACGGCACCGTCGACGATGGGGTTGAGAAACTTGGTGCTGTGCCAGGCGGTAGCTAGGGGACCGGTCTCGGCCTCACCGTCACCGACCATGGTCAGAGCGATGAGATCGGGGTGGTCATAGACGGCGCCGAATGCGTGGGAGACTGAGTAGCCGAGCTCTCCACCCTCGTGGATGGAACCCGGGGTTTCCGGGGTGGCATGGGAGCCGATGCCGCCGGGGAAGGAGAAGGATTTGAAGAACTTCTGCATGCCCTCCTCATCCTCCGACTTCTCCGGGTAGACCTCGGAGTAGACACCCTCGAGGTAGGACTGCGATAGGACGGCGGGGGCACCGTGACCCGGGCCGGAGATGAAGATTGAGTCGAGGTCGTACTTTTTGATGAGGCGGTTGAAGTGCATCCAGGTGAAGATTTGACCCGGAGCGGATCCAAAGTGGCCGAGTAACCTCAACTTCAGGTGTTCAATCTTGAGGGGCTCCTTGAGGAGGGGGTTCTCCTTGAGGTAGATCATACCCAGAGACAGATACAAGCTAGCCTTCCAGAAGTCATTGTACTTCTCGATCTCCTCCTCAGAGAGTGGCTCGCCCTTGACCGTTGACCGAGCTGGGCCATAGGGGCTGATGGACTCGACCTCCTTGTCTGTCATTGTGGAGGTGGAGGGAGTTGTGTAAGTGATGGTAATAATAGGTTGTGTAAGTGTTCAGGCCAAGATGCCTTGAAAGTGGTGGTTTGGAAAGAGACAAGAAGATGGAAGTGGCTTGAGAGGGCTTGGTTTTTATACGTCTTTGTGAGGCAAAGTTGGCAGCAGAGAGACGAGGGCAAAGATGAGCTGCGGTCCTCCTGCCCAGAGGCAATCGGCGGATGGGCAACTCAGGCCAGATTCAGAAGTGGTGCTCACAGTCATGTTGCTGATCTCGAATTGTCAAGCAGGCGGTAGGCAGCTCGACGCAGGTCCGAGAGCTATCAGCCGATGTTGACGGGCCTGACCGGGGTGGGAGGCGAAGGTTGCGGACGTTGCAGAAAGAAGAGGCTAGTAGGGGGTTTACGAAGAAACGGGACGGGTACGTAGAAGTTGACGGCGTTCTTGGAGTCCTTTTGGAACGTGTGGTTGGCCTTTGAGAGAGAGTCCAATGGACTGGCAACGTGGGGGGTGGTCCATATCATTCGTGACACGCTCCATCGTATCCTGGAGTAGTGGGTTGTATGGTGGTGCGTGGTAGCATTCTCTGGGCATTCCGGAGAGTGCCTACCTTTGACAGGCCGGGGCCGGGGCATCTGAAAGGTGACCAGGCGCGGCTGCAGGTGAGCTGAGGAATTTTCGGGGTTTCCTTGCATGTTGTTGGCAGTTGAAAGTTGATCTCTGCGTGGATGTGCGTGGGGAGCAAGGTGAGAAAAAGGTGGTCTGATTTTCTGAAGCGACTTGACTGCGGTCTCTGGCGCTGGCCGACATGTAGCCGACGTCACCTTACGCCCCACGACGGTGTCTTTTGTGCTCTTGACCGCGTCATTTTGCTGTCTGTCTGTTTCTAGTAGATGCGTAACCGATTTTTGATAGACGTTGCCGTATTGCGTGCACACTGAGTGGTTTGGGTCAGAATAAGCGGATGCAGGATGCGGTGGTGGGTGTAGAAAGTTGATGTTGAGGTTGCTGTGTTACACGGGTCGCCAACTGGTGGTACCTTGCTGTTGGGAGCTGCTTTCACCTCTACCAGCTGCCACGGCCTGGAAGAGTCGTTGCCGGGCCGTCGATGGCCATAGACGTTCGCAATTCAAAATCTCAACCGTGAGGAAGTTGCGATAGGAGGCAAGATCAAGACGAGGAAAGCGCCGCCATGGGCCGTTGGATCGGGCCTTCCGTTTGAAAATGGCGGTAGCGAGCCTGCTGTAAGGCCACTGTAAGCAGTCGGGTGTCCTCCCGGGAGGCTCTGTCCGGGCTCCCGGGCTCACCGTTTCTGCTCTGTTACACTCATCCTACCAAAGCCAATTCGTCGTCACCAGGTGGCCTCATCACCCAATTTTCGGGAACGAGATGGTCAATTTCCAAGACAGCGGCAAATCAATCGCCAGATACGATTCCGACCTTGGCGTACCATCGACGCAGATAGCCTTCGTGGGATGTCTCCCAACCATCACGGCATTGTGGCCTCCTTGGTTCGAGAAAACAGCAGAATCCCCCTCCCTCGCCTAGGCAGAGCCTCCATCTGCTCTGACTCGGCGTGGCCAAGACCTACTACTTTACCATCTCGGACCGTTTCTCGTACACGCGTCTCTCGCAGTCCATCTACCAACTGAGAAAACAAAGACTAGCAGACCATTTTCCGCCCTCTCGCCTGCCGGAGCAGGCCATTGATCAAGAGTCGGGCATCAGCAAAAGCGCCATCGTTCATAGCAGAGCGAAGAAGAGGACGACAAGACGAATATCAGAAAACGGGGACCTGGCACATCATCCTTGCTCTTCAACGGGCCACGTCGTCAATCATCCAACAGTCGACCATCCGGCCTCCTTTGCCAGACGAAGACGAGGTATGCAGTAGTTCCAACGCTGCGCTGCCTTGGCCATACTGAGCACCTCGCCCCGGACCATACCATGTTGGTCGTCTACGCACTGCCCGTCGGCGCACCGCGGATAGCGGACAACGACCTCAGCGGAGCCCGGCCGGCTCCTCGACCGAATTCAAAAGCAGCTGATTCCCGGGGCAGGGCATATGCACGCAGATCATGGAACTGCTACTCTCTGGCAGGCGGACACCCCTGCTCGCCTGCCACTCCCCGCCGAGTGTTAATCCTGCAGACATCACCCCACCATCCCTACCAGGCGGGAGCTAGGACCCAGCCCCGACAGCACGAAGGAGTGAGCTCGAAGCTTGGAGCTTGCCCAATTCCTTCGCACCAAGGAGGTGGCCCCAATCGAGATTCTTATATCGTCTCCCGCGGATTCTCTCACTAGGCGGTCTTTTCCCCTCCGCACCGTCGTTTTTCTGCCAACCTGTTTGAGAACCTCCTGGGTCTCTGCCTGTCTCTATCCGTATGATGGCAGTGAATACACAACACACCACGCGAACTTTAATACGATATGTATGGACAGCGCCCTTAGCACATAGCAAACACCATTGACACATCGCCAACGGAGGGGTAACAGCCTTGGCGAGAAATTGCTGAACGAGGGGAAGCTCGAACGGATGAGACATGAATGGGTTCGGAACACCGACTTCAAGCCACTCGGCAAGTCGCATTGAGTGGATTGAACTGGAGACTGCCAATCAAGCCCAATAAACAATTCAGACAACAAGTACGGCAGCGAGAAAGCGTACCAGGTCATAAATGAGAAAATACAGAGATGCGTACCGCTTGGAAGGATTGCGTCTTGCCAACACAAGCATCGGCAACCGAAATGATATGATTATATCGCAACGCGGGGCTGCTGGATAAGTGTCCGGGAAGGCGCATTACCTCTTGGAGCTCGGTGCTTACTCTGGTGCCTTTGAGAGTTCTCACGGTCTCGTTGGCTACACATGTGGATCCTGCCTGAACTGGCCTCCGAACCCAACCACGAAGACGATCTATCACTGCAAGACCTGCAGTAGACATGTTCTTCACCGCATTATCGGAACCAGAGAGATTCCGTTTGGCCCGGGTCTGGCGGAAGAGGGATCTCTGCAAGAGAGCTTTTTAAAGGCAGGTTTCAGATTCCGATGCTCTGATAATGGATGACAGCTGTGCTCCGTGCCGCATGCGAAATGCATGCGGGCCACTTTCAGTAGGAACGGACCCGAGACGACCGGGGTTCTTCAGAGGCAGTGGCGGGGTCGGCGGGGGATCACCCATCAAAGACGCGGGAGCTAGCGTTTAACAAGCTGCTTCCAGAGTTCCAGAAGGGCCAGGCATGCTCTTGGATGTCAATACGGCGGCCCAAAATCGCTCGGCCGAGCTGCGCTTTGCCGAACATTTGCTGCCAAATTTGGAAGCATCTGGATAACTTGCTAGCCAGAACGCAATGGAAACATCCAAGACTCTTGGAAAGGTCACATGAATGGAAGAAGCGGCATGCCCAACATGGATGTCAGCTGCGACACGGAGCTCTATTGTGTAGTAGGGCTGTGAGTTCTCTACCCCACTACTATCGACATCGTTGATCCTGGGCCGCAGAAGAAAACTCTCGCCATCAAAGCACAGTAGCTCAGGGTCAGATCCAACAATTATTCCGCGACGTTTGCATCTCTCTGGTCTGATCTCAAACTGACAGCACAATAGCTTCCTTCCATGCGAGATTACCACCCCTGGGACCTCGTCCCACCATCCTCAAAGTTCACCGGTCGAAGCTCCTGAACCACCCTCAAACACATCGCGAACTATCGAATAAATGAACCCTCGGCCATGTTCCATTTATCCGGAGCCCAGCTCCGCGTAAAAAGCAATAAACACCTCTCACGAACTGTCCGAGCAAACGGGCCGTGCTTCACCCAGATTACCCTCCGGAGTCGTCGCACTCACGCATCATGGTGGCCTGACGTCACGCTCCCCCGCCGATCAAGCACGCTTCCCGATCTCCGACTCACTTGATTCACCCGGGAGGGCATATAAACTTTGCCCCCATCCCGCCGTTTGCCCAATTCGTTTGAAACGACAGACGACAGAACTTTCTGACGTTTTGCCTCTTGCACGGCTACATTATCAGCGATATTTCATCTTATATCACACCAGGTATGACTGCTTCGTGCGTTGATGAATTCCGAGCGTTGGCTGAGTTGATGTGCAGTTCGCCACGGGAAGAGAACGATATGGCATCCTACCCTAGCCACAAACCTCAGACCCCGCAACCTCCCCCGCCTATCCCCATCAACGACGGGGACGACGACCAGGGCGGTGCGACGAGAGACTACTGAAGCACCACAAACCATCAAGCACGAGTTGCGGATTCAGTAAGGCGCTCTGTATAATACGAGGATGATCAAGAAGACGACACCAGCACAATCTTCAAGGATATGTACACCTAAATGCGGGACATCCGGGGGGCACGCATCAAGGAGACTGCAAATCGACACGAGGGATATCTGTACATGACTTATATGGGTTCGAAACGAGCATACATACTTTTCAATTCTGATATATATTCTACGGTCTACACATAAATCGCAAAAGAACATCCATCGAACTACACATATGATCAAGCCACCTCGTCTGTTCTGAAACCCGTCTGGCCGTGACCGCCCGTCACCCGAACCCCGCACCGTCATCCCGTCCCAGAAACCCGGACTGACATATCGCCACCCGCGCGAGATCAGACCACAGCTTCCCTCGGCCGGGTATGTACGGAGGGTCCTGGGCTTTGACGCGATGAATGCAGGCTGCGGGCCTGGATGACCGGCCACCTGCATCTTGCAGGATGCTTCTGCCTCCTGCAGAGATCTGAGTCCAGATCTCGCGGCTGCAGAAGAAGGTGAATTGTAACGCTGGTGGAAGTGTTGCGGAGGGGCTGGCCATTTGGCATCTGGGCCGGCGAAGTCTTCTGTTGTCTTCGTGATGGTGTTTGGGGGTCTGATGGTTGGGTCTCTCGAGTATCTTTTTTCACTCCTCTACATGTCAAGTTATCATGTTGGCATGCGCGTGTGTTGAAGAGACGAAGTCTGTTCTTCATTTCACTACGAA